TTTTGAGCATTTGCTGAAATGACTCAATCAGATTCATAGGCAGCCACATTTCCTGCAACAAACTAGCTAGTGGCAGATAATTGACCTCTAAATTGGTGGTTCCTGACCTTTTTATCAGACGTACCCCTTCATTGACACCACCATTTATTTAACTTTATCCGTGACTTTAAAGAAGCTGTATGTGACATCCAGAACATAAATATGGCCACAAACCACCATTTGCTCTGAAAAGATAAAGTGGATTGGAATAGCATCCTGAAAGGACATAGGTCTCTATTCAGCATTGGTGGGGACACATGAAAAGGCGGGATTGGGGATCCTGCGCCAGAAAATTTTGAGTGTGGAAGTGTTTACTCAACATGAGAATTTAATTTCTAATTCAAATTGTAATTTCTTTTTTTCTTTCTTTTTATATTATTTAAGCTACTCCACAATAGAGTCAGCCACGTTTTTCTGGAGACTGATCCAGAAGTAAGCATCACACTGGTTCCCTCGTCATTAAGTCTATGGGATTTCTTTCCATTGGATTTTAGATTATTGTTGAAAATAAGCTCTGTGGCGGCAAATATTAATAATACTTACATGTTTGGTTCATCAAGATAAGCTTCACAAATGAACACCATTTTCATGATTATAGAATCCTAAATGTAATCACCAGGGGCTGTATTCACAAACATTCTGAGAGCACTCTCAGAGAGCTCCTAACTTAGCCTAGACATTTTTAGTAGGGAGTCTTAGCTTAGGAGTGATTTAGGAAAGTTCTCAGAGCAACTCTGAGCAAGGAAGAGATAAACTTTTACCTTAGGGAGGAGGTGTGGTTGACCACATTGCTAGGTGTGATGCTTTTTTTTAACAGGTGTGATTGGTTGTCACAGACATACCCTTTTGTGAGCCTGCAAGGTGTTGTCATTGTTAGTGTGATCATTCTGCTGATGGAGGGTTGAGACAGACCCAAGTCATCACTGCTGCACTGTTGCATTTTTACAGTTTTTATTAAATATCTTATTATCGTGATCATTTTATTTCCAGTGTTATAGCGTTAGCTGGGAAATGTGTGCATATCCCAAATGACATCAACCACAAGTATTATCCCTGCATGATCTAATCTGTAGCATTTCATTTACTCACTGTCATCCAGCGTTTGGAGAATATTTCTCCTTCCTCTTTGTCTTTCTGCCATTTTCTCCTCTGATTAAGAAACTCTTAAATCGCTTAAAAGTCCTCCTCCCTGCTCCTAACAGTTTTTGACCTTCAGAGCTCTTTTAAGAGTGAAGACACTTTGTGAATAACTTGTATCTTAACAAGGACCTAGTCTTAACTTTAAGGGGAAATTCTAAGAATTTTCTTAGAATTTTGTCACTAGGAGCAACTCTCAGCACTAGGAAGCTTTGTGAATACGGCCCCAGAAGTAAAAAGCCAATGTTAGGCTATAAACAAACTACACTGCCATTGCACGACCTAATGTCCCCACCATAACAAGACGTAAAGCCATGTTCAGTGCAGCTCAGCATGATGACGTTCTATAGTCTCATTTAGCTGCTTGTAAGCAACCCCCCTTTTTTTAGACACGTAGAACGTTCAGAGTTCACGAGTGGGTTATTTACTGACGTATTTTAAGTCAAAGAAAAAAAAGTGAAAGTCTCTTAAGCTTGTGTTAACCACAGAGCTTATTACAGGCATCTAACCAAAACGCCCATTCAAAAAACCCATTGACTTTGAGATGAGGGAACCAGGAGTGGTAAAACGATAACTTATTTCTGGCTTTTAGGACTCAATCCTGGCAGACTATTTCTCCATGTTTACCCAAGCAACTGTGGAGGCCCCCCCCCCCCCCCCCCCCCCCCCCCCCCCCCCCCCCCCCCCCCCCCCCCCCCCCCCCCCCCCNCACACACACACACACACACACACACACACACACTCCTGCGGGTTACAAGTACTCCTGGTTGGGAATCTTTGCTCTAAATCCTTATAGATAATACAGACACTTCCTTTTTGTGGCAGTTTCCTACTCTAGATCTTTATTTAGTCAGCAGGCTTTAAACGTGTGTCCTATTAGAAAACCTAGATGGCATAACACTGCTGTATTTATATTTAATCCTGCCTTCTAGCCTTAACTTTTGACAGTTTTCTGGCCAATTGCTTGCCATGCCTCATTTGCCTTATTTGGTTATGGAAATGTTTTGCTTGATTATCCAACCCCTGCAGCAAAACTGTGAGCCGATCTAGTCGTTTACGAGACTACTTTATGATTGGTTTATGATGGCGGCGTTTTTTGTTGTTCCCCACTTGTCAGTGCTTCACTTTGGCCCACACTGAGAGGCTTGTGCTTAAGGGGGTAAGACTGCAGTGCACTCCATTGGATCATTGTTGACGGTCATTAGTCTTATGACCTTCGTGTGAACCAGCCTGTGGTGTGCATCTCCTCTGTCTCTCCATTTCCCCCGTCTTAAGCGGCTAGAAACCCTCCAGCCGTTCAATCTCAAAGGCGCTCTCCATTCACAGAAGCCCTCCACATTTCGAAGAAGACATTCCCCTTCTGCACATCTGCCAGCCTTCCTTGTGATGAGGGCTGCACTCAGAGCTGTGACAAACATACTCAACATTGCAGAAAAATTAGACATGGATGGAGTTGACAAGAGCCCCTAACATCTACAGCTCGGGATGCTTTCCCAGACTGTGATTATCCCTGGTCTTTTGAATGTGCGCTTCGTATGTTTTTTTTCTGCTGCCATTGGAAATAATTCTACGTCAAAGAAAATTACAATATCACAAGAAAATATGCTCTGTAAATTTCTACGGGTGTCTAATGACATGCCCTCACCAAATGCAACTGAGACCACTGTCTCAACCCGTGAAAACAAGCTTGATGAGTGATGCAGGCAGACAGTTGAGATGGTTTCATTCACACAGTGGCTAAAGCCGGAGGTACTTTGCGTATTCAGTCATCTCTAATAACACCAATTGATATGAAGCCTTGTCCACCTCAATATCACTAAAGTGCAGCTGAGGACTCATGTATAATTTAGCAAAAAAATCTCTAAATGGCTCTACAGATCAACTTTTCTCTGTCTGTTTCTCACTGGTACCTCTCTCCCCCATTCGCCCCTCTTCTCTCTACCTCTCCTCTCTGTATAATTTAGCGGCAGATAAGCGCTCCCTCTCCTACATTAGTGTGCTATACCACTGCCAGCTGAAGGAATGGGGGCCTTCGCTCTATATGTGATACAGTTTCTGCCTGCCAAGCTCAGCCGCTGCCGCTGCCACCGTCACTCGGTGTTGACGAGTTTGGGTGCCTGCCACATTCTGCACCTGCCAGGCTCATAAAGAATCCCCCTGTTTCTCTGGGGCCTGAAGGCAGGATCTGCCATAATTGTTAAGGATGTCGCGATTTAGACGTTCAAGCCAAAGCTTAGACAGTTGATGGCGCCAACAAGTTGGCAGATGGTCCATTTTGTTCAGCTGATCCGTCAGCGGGGGTATTTGAGGTGTTAAGATGAATGAGCGGTTGCGATTTTTCACAAGTGGCAAGAATTTATGCCGTGGTCTCAAATGTAAGCAAAAGTCGATCTGTTGCTAAATACTTTGAGTGCTGTCTCGGCCAAGAGCCCCCCTTGCAAAGGAAATCTAGCATGGGAAACCTGGATAAGTAGGCTCAATAAAATGACGAAGTGAAGTGGATGAAGTGAACGTCCTTGTCAAGTGCCTCCTCTTCTTACACTCTCATCATATGTGCAGTCCCAACGGGGGGGTAGGAGGAGTCAAATCATGACTGATATGGTTTACACTTCATGTTGAGAATAAGTGAATTCAGCTTGTGTGTTTGCTGAAGCTAGAAGAAAACCGCAGACCATTAATTTGTGCATGCATTCACTATTACGATGCCAGGGGCTAAATTAATGCATATTTATGACATGTGACAAAATGATGGAATGAGGCTTTTTAGAAATGAGGGTTTCGCAGAAATTCCACTCCAGTGTGTCCACTCATTTCCACCGCTGCCTCTTTTCTCATTTTGTCCTGCGTCTGTATCTGCCACCATCTTGGTCTCATGTCTGTGCGTCTTGTCCTGTCCTCATATCAACCCATCTATATATAGCAGGTCTGTCCCCATACTCTTGCTGTCTGTGTTACTGGAAAAGCGGGGAGTGGGCGCTGCATTTTTGAATGCACAGCTTTGTCTGGGCAGGAGGAGAAAACGAGGCAGCGCAAAAGAAAGGGAGAGGGCCGGAGAGGAAGAAAGCGCCATTGACAGACGGGCAAACACCAGTCAGCCCCTGTCCCCCTCTCTCTCCATTGTCTCCAAGTGCTAGACGTCAGCAAACGACAGGAATCTGGAGAGAGGGAGGACAGAGAGCAAAGAGTCGGTGCTTTGTTTGGGCCGCTGGCCTCAGACCCGGTGAAAGTGCAGGGAGAGGAGAGAGGGGTGAGGCATGGGGACAGAGGAGAGAGCACTGGACTGACCTCGCAGCAGGATCCCCCCTTCGTCCCCTCCTCCTTCACTGTAAACAGACAGAAACAGGCCTCCCACCACTCCACATGTAATATTTACATATGAGCAGTGATCACATACAGAGTGGCTGCAGATGGTCATGATTCCCTGTCATACAACCTCGTTAGCACCTACATGCTAAGCGTTGATTAGCATTCTCTCTCAACTCAGTCACATCACGGCGAGGGTGTAATCTCGCACATTACATTCATCACAGTGTAATGCTGCACAGAGTTTGCAAATTCCCCCCAAGTTGCCCATTGTTTACCCAATTAATTCACCAGTTACTGTACAGCGCAGGTGCCTCTCGCCTGCGTTTCTCGTCCACTTCAAAAGATAATGTGTGTAATTTGTTTCAATGAGGGTACGAAATGGAGAGAAATGGCAGGATGGATGGGGGTGGGGGGTGTGTGGAGAGGAGGAATGGGCCGGGCCGGGCCTGAGCGAGGGGTGTGGTTGGGTATAAACCAGGGGACAGTGGGTTTTCTGTTGTTGTCCAGTTTTGAAGCCCTCTGTCCTGGCGTCCTGCACCCCTCCACTCCACTTTCTTTCTTTCTCCTCCTTCCACTCACACTCCCTCCAGAGTGGGACTCTTCCTCGACAGGCTCCTGTCAGGTCCGCAGCATCAGTCTTTTGGGAGCTCCCTAGAAGCCAGAAACCATGCTGACGTTTTTGGCGCTGGCGTCGGTTGTCCTCCTGGGAATAGGTAAAAAAAGAAAGACTGAATCTTCTTTGAACTGTTTTTTTATTAAGTTTTATTTTGAGGAGGTCTCAAAGACACCCACAGTGAATTTCATCTATTGAATGCGAAGATGTAGAAATTATCTTTCCACTGATGTGGGGTGAAAGGTTAAATGAGAATATGATGACGAGGGCTTTTTCTGTTTTCTTCTTCAGTGCTTACTTGAAAACTGATGGACTTGATGATATAAAAAAAGGTCAATAGACTTAGTAGGGAATTAATTGATCTCTGTAATATCTCCCTGTACACCGGCTTAATACTAAACTAAAGCAATTAAATTAATATCTTAACATTTGCTTATTGATTCAATTAAAAAAAAGCCTTTAGGACACCTGTAGAGGACATCGTTCATTCTCAGGTGCTTTATGCTAAATGACCCAGCACTGTACATCTGTGCTCCTCTTACAAAGCAGCTGGCCCTAAGCTTTCAAAGTTAAAGAGTAATACTATGACTTTAAAAGGGAGGGCTGGCAGACGTTTTGCTCTCAAGCAGACGGCTTTGTGTGCTCCCCTCCTGTCAGATATTTGCAGTTTTTGTCAGAATTTTAATTAAAAATGTCAAGCACGATTTCATCGACAAGTTTTGCGGGGGCTGGCTGCACTAACGGCGTTCGCTCAAGGTCGCTCGCAGTGAGGGCTGTGAACTTTACTCTCTGGGTGTTATAAGAAAGATGGCACCAAGCTCCACGACACTTATGGGCATTGGTGTTAATGTAGCTTTGAGAATACTGTGACTCATTGGTGGCCCATTCACACATTTTAAGGGAAACATAACACAAAAAAATGATGTTGTTCCGGCTGATGTTAGAGTGGCAGGGCTGTGCAGCTCCCAGGGGCTTTGGTGGTTGTTTGAGATGCTGAGTGCATTTTCGAGGGAAGTAAAATATTGATTTTGCAGCCAAAACCAAATTAACATCGATCATTAGATATTATTCGAGCATAAACAGCGCACATGATTAAGCCAACATAATCCATATTAATGGAGAAAATGATGTTCCCCTTTGACTTTGAGAGACTAGCACCAATATTCCAGTAATAATCCAAATATTTACCAAGTGCACGTCTGAATCAATGGTGGATCTGACACCACTAAATGTGCAGTTTAACCGTGTGTGTGTGGGTGCATATCTAAGTATTTGGGATTTATTTGATAGATTTAAGGGTGAAAAGTTGTAAACGAACAAACTGACATTCAATACAGGGTTATACCATCAGAAGTATAATAGAACAAGAATATGTTGATCAGTACTTTACACATAAATGTACTTTAATGTCCAGTCATGTAGACAACTGTGCAGGTATGGTTTTGTTGCTTGCTTTCCTCTAACAAGCAGCTTTTGCAGGTTGCAATTCTGATCACTTACTGTGACTTTATAGTCAAGGCAATATTAAATCAAAACACATTATCTTGTGATGTGGATAGGTGGGTTTATTTGTGAATGAACCATATCTATCTGCTCCGTGTCTCCCAGTACCTGAGCAGTCCCAGGCTATAGTGATTTACACTGGCTGGGAGCGTCACGCCCTCTTGGGCTCCGACATCCGGCTGTCCTGTTCCTTTTTCTCCTGGCGCTGGACCTCGGAGGACGTCACCTTCTCCTGGACATACAGGCCTGATGGCTCCCGGGACAGCATTTCTGTAAGATGCAAATTCTCACACACACACACACACACACACACAGAGTCTACTTATTGATAATTGTGGTACGACATAAGTGTACTATCATCTGATCTGTCATCATCCTGTAAGGAAAATATGCTTTTACAAGACAGTTAGCTGTCACAGTCAGGCAGCCTGCAAAGCAATCTTTAAATCTCTATAAAATTAGTCACATCCACTTTAAAGCTGCACTTATTGAGATTGTCATGGAACAAACTTAATGCAAGCTCTTCAAAAAGTTCATCTTTAAGCTCATTGTTTTTGCTTTTACAGCCCACGGCTTTGCTGTTTTGATTTACTCTCATGCTGTCATCTGTCAAAAAAGGCTCTGGTAAACCTCCTGTAAACTTCTTGCTCAGCACCAAAGTGCAGACGTACAAAGTTAGTGAGTAGTTTGTGAACATAGTAAAGCATTTAGCAGCTAAAAAGCCAGACATCTTTGCATAAATCATAAAGGGATGGTCCACCTTCCATATTTTCCTAAATGAAATTCTCATGTTATGTACTCCCACTTAAAGTTAACCTTTTTTCTCAGTCAAGAAGCTCCAAATAAATATTTAAGAGGGAATTACAAACGTGTCTTTTGCACCAACAGCACTAGAGACTCGGCAACAATGGCTGCGTTTTCTACCAAAAGACTTTTTTGTTTTCACCATCTCCGCCCCTACCAGGCACGAAGAGGAACAGAAATTTAGTCAGAGAAGGGGGTGCTGTAGTGATGTCACATGACAGTGTTTCTGAGCAGAGCAGTGCTTGAAACAATGAGCTGATCAATTCGGGATCACTTGCAGACTTGTTTTGTGCAGCTTTAATATCAGGATCTCAGGAATTTAAACATGGCGGATCATTTTCTCTACAGGATTCATGAATTTTGAGTAATTTCCAGAGCACTCTCACTGAACAGAATACTTGTAAATCATCAGAAAGGAATCCTGGTTTAATCCGACGCATTCGGGACTGTGTGAACGTCTAAAATGTCATCACACACTTGAGCAATACTCAATTTATTCTGACACACAAGTGCAGGATTGGTGTATTAACTCCAAGAAGGAAACAACAAGCGCACAGAAACTTTCTCTCCCACTCCTCCTGCCGCCTCACCTGCCTCCTGCTCTTTAATTTCGCTTTCCCTGCCCTTATCGTCCTGCCATCTCTCTAATCTCTCTATCTCCCCGTCCTGACTGCGCCTCCCTCTGTCCACCTCCCTTAATCTCCTCCTCCCCAGCCCTGCCTTCTTTGTCCCTCCCCTCCTCTCTCATTATCTTCTCCCCTCACCTCCTTCGCTTCCATCCATCTCCCGCAGTGCCCTCACTTTGAAACTAGATTTCTCTTCTCTTTTTTTCCCACTTATCTTCTGTCGCTCATTTCTTTACCCGCCGGGACAGATTTACAGTTTCATATGTCTATCTGTTTTCATGGTGCATTTGTCCTTTCAAACGTCGTATTTGATTTCCGACACGTGTGTATCATGTGAAAAGGCTGTTGTTCATTTCATGGATGGCTTTCATAGGCCTCAAACCTTCAATCAGACGTGTGCTGACAGTTTTATTTAACTGTTTCACAACATATCAACCAAATTTGACCTTGATCCTGTGGAGTCTGGGACATCAGCACTCAGATCAGTTAGCTTTTATTTTAGCTGTAATCTGCCATTCACCATTTGTGGGGCTGGCATCATTCAGCATTTGTCATTACTAATGGTCTGTTATAATAAAACAGTATTTTTCTTGGATAATTACCCCTTTTCCATTAAAATGAAATATATTATATGTCAAGTCAGTTTTATTTATCTAGCCCAATATCACAAATCACAGATTTTGCCTCTTTACAATATGTGCAGCACACAGCACCCTCTGTCCTCAAACCCTCGCTTCATATGAGGAAGAACTGTCCAAAGTCAAGCAGCCACAGACGGCTAAAAATAAAATTGGCAACATGTTGACTTAAAGTGTAAGATGTGTAGGATAAAGGGGGATATATTAGCAGAAATGCTATATAATATTCATAACTATGTTGTCATTAGTCTATAATCACCTGAAACTAAGAATCATTGTGTTTTCTTTACCTTAGAATGAGCTGTTTATATCCACATGTGGAGCCAGCTCTCTTTCACAGAGTCTGTCATGTTCTACAGTAGCCCAGAATGGACAAACCAAACACTGGCTCTAGATAGGGCCATTCGGGATTTACTGTTTTGGCGTCAGCAACCATAGTTCTCCTTCAAGTTTCAATTGGTTGCAGTCTGCAACCTCACCACTAGATGCCACTAAATTCTACACACCAGACTTTTAAAGCTGCTTTGATTAGTATTTTTTAAATCTATCAAGTGTTATGTGAAAGTTCTTGCTCTTTGTGTAACAGGGAATTAATGACACACTTTTGGGGAAGTGTTTTAGCGTCTTTCAGCTAATTGATTTGGGTTTTCCAACCCTCAACTTGACTGTCTTGGTCCACTCTCTGCTCTCATAGCGTCATTTCAGCTGAAACACGCAGCTGTTCAGTGAAAAAAAATAATCCACTGTACACTACTTGTCCAAGGCCAAAAGGCAGACAGATGATGTTAGCGGCTAGCAGTTAAATGTGATGGAATATTTAAAAGGAATACACAGACAGAAGCAAGCCCTCAGGAGTTTGTGGAGACCAAAACAAAGCTAAATGAATAAATGTTGGACTTCGCCAGGTGGACAGAAATGCCAGTGTTGCCCTGCATTTCTAAAATGTCTAAATAAGCTAACACATTTGCCATGTCACCTTTATAGGGTCATTACAGCTTGTTTCCACTGCCCCCAAGTGGCCAAAACATCTTAATAAGACAGTGACCAACCACTAATATGGATCAAAGAGATTCAAACAGGACCATTCCTATAGAGACGCAGTTACGCCGAAAACTCTTTAAAACTACAGTTATTCTGTTGTTTTTTCTTAACTTTCCCCAATGGTTCTTTGCCTCTTGGTAACCCATCTGCTTCCAGCTGGCTACCTGAGGCTGGTGCTGTGCACACATTCAATCATGACAGGAAAAAGAAAGACATTTTCTCTCAATGAAAAACATAGTCTCCTTGAGCTTATGACAAACTGCCAGAAACGAGCCAACGAGATGCAGCAGCCAAACTCGGTGTTCCTCAGCCTGCCTCGTGTAGTTTACTCAAACAACAAAAAACAGTTATGGCTGCTGGTGATGGAGACAGAAAATGAATGTGCACAGGGAAAGTACCTGTGGTCGAGCCACCCTCATCAGGTGGATTGATCCTGCCTGGTCACTAATGCCCCTGTCATGCAACAGCTGTACTGTATTTTGAGTCAAATGCAGAAGTTACTCTTTAGAGTGTTTTTGGTGACCCAACATGCATGAACACAACAATGCCCTGTCTGTCCTTTACAGATCTTCCACTACACCGGTGGTGTTCCCTACGTGGACAACAAGGGCCCATTCAGGGACCGGCTGGAGTTCGTGGGAAACCCAAGCCGCCGTGATGGCTCCATCTTGATCAAGAACCTGGACTTCAACGACAATGGCACCTTCACCTGCGACGCCAAGAACCCCCCTGACATAGTGGGCCGGCCTTCCAGCGTCCGCCTGCTGGTCTTTGAGAAGGGTGAGATGAGGGAGGGTGGGAGGGGGAGTACAGTGAGTCCTGCGGGGTTTTCTCAGCAAAATCAAATTCTCCCACTATGTAAAGTCTAATGTCTGCATTGTCTTACATCTGTGTCTGCTCATAAGCCTTCCACTGAGCCCATATGGCATATTTGGGGGAATTTTCTTCATCAGAAGCCAACTGTTCTCAATTGTTGTTATAATCATTCCAAACTCCGCAATTAATCTCAATTTACGCTGTGCATCAGACTAAAGCGAGCACTGCGTTCAGACCGGTCGTCGCACTGCCTCGTTTAGAATTCCTTGCACCTCCTGTTAAATGAAATCAATTACAATTTTATCTCTTTCTCTATTTGAGATTGCTATCACTGCCTCCCCTTCACTTGTTTTCTCCCCCTTCTCCTTGCTTTCTCTTCCTATTTCTCTCTCCTTTCCCCTTTTCCATCGTCTTCCACCGTCCTCGTCCCTTCCCCCACCTTCTTCCTCCGTGACTCTATCCCTGCTACTGCTCTCACCTTTATTCTACCTTATCTCCCCTCCTCTTCATCTCCCTCTCTGCCTCCACTGCACTTGTATTCTCCATCTTTCATTCAACCTTTATTTTACCTTTGCTCTCCTTGTCTGTTCTACTTTCATCTCTCTTTCCTTCTAGCTTTGTTCCCTGCCTTCCTCCCCTTTCCATTTCCTCCCTCCTATGACATCTTTTCCTGATCGTTCACGTTCCTCTTTCTTCCTATCTTCCTTTTCCTTCTGAACACTCCCAACTTCTCGCTGTCACTTGCTTTCTATTCATCTTTATTATCCTCGAATTGTGTGCACCTTCTAACACTCCCTCCTCTTTTCCTTTTTCCTCCCCTCCATCAATAGTGCCCATCCAGGCTGGCGTGATCACTGGGGCCATCATTGGGGTGGTGCTGGGCCTGCTGGTGCTCATCGTGGTCATCTACTACCTGATGAGGTTCCTGGTGGCGCGCCGTGTCTTCAGCCTCAGTGTCAGGTCAGTGCCCGGCCTGTGGCCGGCGGCGCTCTGCCAGTCGGGTTTGTGCCAGGGACTGGAGCTGAAGCTGGAGCCCATCCCTGGCACCGACACCTGTGTGGCCAAGCTGGCATAGCTGCCATGCCACAATTTGATTTGGTTAGGTGTGTTAGGTGTGTGTTAGTTTTAGATTTGAAGTAAGTCAGCTGGAAAGAGACGGATAATCATCTCTCATCTAGATTTCATCTAAAAATGGCACTGCATAGGTCCAAAGCAAGATGATTAAAAGTGGTGAAGCGTAAGTTTCTGAGTAGATAATCCACCAGATCATGAAGATGATGGATCCATCATCTTGCTTATACCTATCCAATTTTATAAGATCGCATCTAGCTCCTGGGGGCTGTGTTTGAGACGGGGCCAGTAGATTAAGTTGATGTTCTCTTTATGATGGCTGCCAGGCAATGCTGCCCTGTGACCACTGGAGGGAGAGATAGATTCGACATCCTGACATTGTCTTTCTTTTGTCCCCTCCAGCAAACATGGCAAGAAAAAGAAAGAGGGATCACAGCAGAGACAGGCAAGTTCCCTCCTCTCCTTCCTGAACCATCCCCTCTTCTCCTCCCTCTGTCTCCTTTCCTCAAACACTCCCATCACATGAACACATCCAGTCGACACCACCAAATGCAACAGCTTGGTTTGCTGTCATATTCAGGCGCTAAATGATAAAATGACGTCCTTTTTGGAGAGATTACTATAGCATTCAGTGTTAGGCTCAGGAAACGTGTTGTCAGAGGGAATATTCATCTATTCTGTTGCAGCGCTGCCACACAATAGCACACATCTAACATGACAGTGCATAACGGCACAGTTTCATAATCGCATTCCCCCAATGCCAGTCCAAGCAGCTCCAACATGTCCGCGCACTTAGCCGACTTCTCCTCAAAGCAACATATCAACAACAAATAGCATGTCATTCAAACTCTGCCCTGGAAACACTAATAACAGTGTTCAAGCTGTTAAAATTCGAGTGCCGTCTGAGCGTTGGAGGTGCTTTACAGCCCATACTGTCCCTCCTCTCTCTCTTTCTCTCTTTCTCTCTTTCTCTCTCGTGGCCCTCACCCCTCCTTCAGCTCCCTCAGGGGGGCCAAACAGCGCAGCGCGAGTAAACAGCCATGGGGCAAAAATCAAACCAGCTACTGTGAAATGGCCGAGCAATGCTATTGCTGTGTTGAATGGGACTGTGATTTGCTCGCAGTGGGAAGAGGGACGGGAGCTGCTGATTTTGCTCACTGGGAGTCAAATGAAAATCACTGGGCCTATTATGGTCTGGGCTGTTATCAGTGGTCTTACGCTGCTGCACGCCAAGGGTTTGGGGTATTTTCTCTTCCCCTATTCCTCATGGGACTGTGATAGCCTCAAGTGGTGGATTAATCAGACATTTTGGTGGCTTGTATTCTTTTGTAAATACAAGGCACCAGGGCAAGTTCTGTTTGATTACTCTGCGGTAAAGTGGGGGCTGGATGGTTGCGGGGGTGTATTGTAATCGACTGTACGCCTCGCCTGCTGATAATGAACAAAAGGGAAGTCAAGGGATTTGGGTTCAAGGCATTTTACTAAATCAAAAAATCAGCTTTGAAATGAGCGACGCGCAAAGATATCCAGGGCGGAAGATCAAAGGTGTTATTGTGACAGCGAGTCATTTAGCCTCAGGTATAAGCTAATGTAAAGATGAGGGAGCAGCGGCGGCGGTTGGCGGGCTTCCGCCGGCAGTTAGGAGTGCGCCATCTTGCCCCCGTGGCTCAAGCCTAGGGGGCGACACCAACAAGGGCCAACCCATTCCTTCTACCTCAAACAAGTGTGCTCATTCTCATCTCCCCAGAGCCCCTCTTCCTCCCTCTGTCTTCTTCTTTCCTTTTTACTGTCATGTGATTGTCAGGTTGCTCTTGAGCTGCAGTCAGTTGCTCTCAAGTGCCTGCGGCGGGTGACAGTGCATATATGAATAAATAACTCGCCGCCAAAAGGACACTGGAATATTTGACAATGTTGTCATTTATAGTTACTCTCCCGCAAGTCTCGGCTTGGAAGAAAAATGTTCCATCTGAGCTCACACTCCCTTATTTTTTATTTTTATTTATTTTTTTCCCCCTCAGAGCTGATTCCTCTCTTGTAGCTGCGCCTCACACAGAGGACTCGTGGGATTTTATAGTGCGCTCATAAGTGGTTGTTTGATCAAATAGCCCTTATTAGGAGTCTCTGCTGACACAACACAATTTTGTATCAGCCTCACCATCTTCGTTACTTTCCGTTTGCTGGGCTTGCACTGCAAATCTCCAAAAGACTGCGGGTGAGGGAGTGAAGGAGGGAGTGAGCGAGACAGAGAGACAAAGGAGCCCTGTGGTGTGTGCTACTCCCCATTAGGTGGAGTTGTGGGAGAGGAGTTTACCCCGCAGCCACACACATAAGAAAGCTCACAGGAATGAACACACACACACACACACTGTACTGGAATGATAATTGAGTGCACTCGGTATCGATCTGAGCTCACACACACGCACGCACACACGACCCACCCATTCTTCTTTCCATCCCCCAATTGCCCCCCCCCCCCAACCACCCCAACCACCCCAACTCCACTTTACTTCACTCCCTCCCTCGCTCTCTCATTCACATTCCTTTTTATCCGATCCCCAGTCTCTCTCCCTCTCTACAGTCGCATCCTCCTCTCCTTCCCCACCTCCCGCCTCTCCCTGCCTTTGACTTCCTTGCTGACCATGAGAAGCATCTATCTGTAATTCCCCCTCTCCTCTTCCCTTTTTACTTCCTCTCTCGCTCTGTCGATCCTCCCTCACCCTCCTCCCCTCCACCACCACCACCACCTCATCACCTCATCACCTCCCTTTTCCAGTCTCTCTCCTCTCCCTCCTCAGGTGTTCTGGGTTCTGATCAGCTTCGGTTCTGGACAGAAAATCACTACCTCTCACTCCTCATCTACCTCTCACTCTCCCTCCTCACCTGTCACCGTCTCTCTTTAGTATGCAGCAGGGGACGCAGCCACTTACCTCCCTATCTACCTCCCCACCAACCTCCCCACCAGTCCCTCCTGTTTTGCCACTGTACCCACATTTCCTTTGAAGTGTGTGCAGCCCCTGTAACAAGGGCAGCTCTGCATTCTGCCTAAGCAGGTTCGAGTGTGTTTACGAGGCAGCCCCGTCATTAGCGTGGGAGCTCTGCAATACAGCAGAAACTGAGCCTACCGTGGGATGCATAATGGTAAACAATACAATGATGGATGAGGGAATGTAAGTATGATCGAAGGTAATGACACCGGATGGGCTGCACAGCTGCCCTGTGGAGCCGGATGTTAGCTGCAGCGTACGCCTCGATTGCTGTCTTATCAGAGCGCGTGCTGCTTCGGCACGGTGCATCATTAGAGATGATACATTTTCTAATGCAATCAGTGGGGTATTATTAGCCGAAGCTTCAGTGACTAGAGGCAGCGTCTAGTGTGCTTTCCACCGTTGACTAACCTGATGTATTAGAGGATGTATTTCATTCTCCAAACCCCAGATCCAGCATGCATACTATTCACTCGAACTGTCCTCTGCTGTAACACTTTACAGCAGTGTACTGGCCCCATAGTCCAACCTGTGGAAGAGTACTAAAAGTACACAGTGTTGGTTAAAACCATTACATATGAGGGAAGTTTCATTAAGCTCCGCCTGAGTATTATCGTGCACTTGTGATACTTTTCAATAGGTTAACTCACAGGTTAATGCACTGGAATACAGCTATTGTAAAGTTAAGTGTTACCTTGACCTTATCTCCACTCTGTCCAGTCCGTCCTGATGGATTTGTTGTGCTCAAATGAAGCCTCACTTTACTTCCTTCCTCCTCTTTCTTTTATAGATTTCTTCTTGGATGTTTTTAGACATTGCACAGACAGTATACAGAATGAGTGGGAGTGAATGGATGAATTATATAAGTACGAGTTAGATGAATGGAGGTTGAATGTGGGCCTTTCTTTTAAAAATATCACATAGCCAGTAAAGCAGATCCATCCTTGGGCATGGGCATAACGAATTCTTTATTCCACTGTGAACTTTAATAATTAATTTAATAGCCCAGTTATGTAATTTGTAAACAAATATTTCATTTCCAGGTACTTCCCCTCTCTGAATGTGATGGGGTATCAGGCCTTGAAGTGCAGCTAGCTCTCAAACAATTTCATTTTTCACCTTTTCATATAAATGTTAGTGTCGACAAGTCGAAATGTTTCACAGACCCAGTGTGCATGGATGTGCTGATCTGCAGGACAGTCATCACTGACAGTCGGCGTCTAGGTTGAAATAGGGTGAAAGTTTTGAGCAAATTTGATTGTCAACAGAATGAGCCCCAAGAGACGCATCATTTTTTTTTGAAGAGGGTCCTGACAAGATGTTGCTTTTTTTCACAATCTATGCATTTTGACAATTTATGCTCAAAGACATGAGAGGGAAAGACACAACAACAAAAACAACAGAATTTGAATAACAATGGCAATCTTTAGAATGACACTAAGTCTGAGGTTAAAAAATGAACTTAAAAGCAAGAGCAACTTAATTTCACAGATGAAAAAGGCTCGATTTGAATAATTCAAATGAGGTTATGGATTTTATGTGTAGTGTTAAATCTGCAAACAGCCTTTTAATGACTGTATTTCATTGTGTTGCATATCCCAGCTACACTGAAATATATGTATCCAAATGATGTTTAAACCAAAGTTAAAATGTGCCACAGATGCAGTGGTGGAAAGTAACTAAGTATATTCACTCAAGTACTGTACTGAAGTACAGTTTTGAGTTACCTGTACTTTACTTGAGTATTTTCATTTATGTTACTTTATACTTGTACATTTTTACTTTTTAATCCTCTACATTTATTTAATAACTTGATAACTACTTAGTTTGCGGATTCAGATCATTAATACAAAATATAATCAGCGACTAAATAATGATGGAACATTTTAGATAAATATAAAACTTTGTTGATCCCTCAGTGAAATTCACAAACTACTCTGCAGTGTGTATATCTATAAATAGTCAAAAAGGAGCTCCACCTTTACCAGCTGCAATATTAAAGCAATGAGCACATTAATACATCAGTAATTATAGTCAAGTAATATAATATTTATTATTCTTAAATGGGCCATTCTGCTTCCCTGGGTCCAGACCTTTAAATCCACCCAATCCACCAGGTTGACTGACTTGTCTGGCATTGTGACATGAAACAGTGGTTCATCAATTAAAATAAAAACGGCGGAGGGACTAATGATTAGCCAGTCAGCACCATGGGTGGGTCTAACATCAATGTGAAGTGGTACGCCGTATCGACAAGACTGATGTTGCTATCGAGGCTCTTCTTAATCGACATGTCTTCTCAAAATTGCCCGATATGGTAGTTTGCTTTCCTTCGCGCTGCGTCATTCTTAAAACCCCGGCACAACAGATGGTTGGCATGGCTATGAACCACTGTCTACTTAAAATTACCTTAGATCCAGGTAAATACGTTGGTTTTGAGTGATTGATTAGGGAAAATTGAACCCCTCTCCCCCACAAAATCAGTTATGCAGGGTGCAATGTCAGACTGAAGATGGAAACACAGTGTAATGAGTTGACAATTCTGTCTGAATATCAGCCGACCATTCAGCATAGCAAGTACTTTTTCCTTTAGGCATTTTAAGTGTATTTTGCTAATACTTTTCTTCTTCAGTAAAAATGCAGGACTTTTACTTGTAACAGATTATTTCTTCACTGAGGTATTACTACTTTTACTGGAGTCAAATATCTGAGTTCTTCTTCCACCACTGCCTAGATGTCTAAAAACTCTCTTTTTAGTCAAATTTATCACCACTTTTAAAATGTTTATCCACAGATTGTTAAGTTAGTTAATGATTTACTTAGTGGGAACTTTTTCACTGTGACAACAATCACACTGAGGGAAAACAAGAGCTATTCTGTCTGCAAGTATCTCAAATAGTCAGATCTCAATAGGAACCTAATCTGGTGTACATTGTGTGTGTGTGTGTGTGTGTGTGTGTCTGTGTTTGTGTATGAGTGTGTGTTATTGATCAATTGTCACTTAGTTCTCACAGGTGTATGGAGCCTGCCTGCCACTGTGTCCCATCCTAACGCATGGTTACCTGTTTTGTCACCCCCTTACAGCTCTGGACACCGCCCCCCCTCACTTGCTACCCCCTCCCCTAAAAGGACTGTCTCTCTACCTCCTCCCCCCTATCTGTATGTCTGACTCTCTCCCCCTTCTCCTCCTAAATGTGTTTTTCTCTCCTCTTCACACAGCTCCACCTGTCCTGCTAACTCCATCTCTCATCCTCTCACCTCTAACGCACCCATCTCACCCCTCCTTCCTTCCCTGAATCCTCGTTCTCTCTCTCTCTCTATCTCTGTCTTTCGTTCTCTCTCTCTTTCTCTCTCTCTCTCACACTCCCTCACGCTCCTTTCCTCCTGAAGTGACTCTCCTCCCCTGTTCTCCCCCCGACCCCCTCTCCCTCCTCCCCCACAGGGCCCCGTGCCTCCCGCCGACCCCTCCAAGGTGAAGGCGGCCGCCTCGGAAAAGAAGAAGGAGTCTCGCAAGGATAAGAAATAGGATACGGGGAGGGGCTGGGGCGGGCTCGTCGACCGGCTGCTCCAGCCCATACACCTGGCAGTGCCGATGGTGCAGTCCAAGCCGCAGCAGCAAACCATAGCCAAAAAGACAGACAGGGTGGTGGGAGGAGGGGAACAGGGCCCGGCCCGGGTGCTGATGACCATCGACCTGGAGCTGACCCGCAGAAATGGGGAACAGAGACCCGGTGGTGAGGGAGGGATAGGAAAGTCCGAACCGGTTGGCTTCCTCTCCCGCCTCGTCAACCAGCTCACCTTCAAAAAATAAACCAATAGGGAGGCGGGGGAGGCCAAGGGGGGAGGGAGCAATCGAGGATAAGAGAGTGGGAAGTCTACTGAGGAGACAGCAGGAGAGTTAAACCACAAACCTACTTCACACCCACCACAACGCCAACCTGAGTGCCTGAATAAATGAGTCAAATCATATCTGCTCTTGTCACAGGCTGATGACTGTAGACGCAGCTATATGGGCCGAGATCTAAGATGTCGTGATAATCTCTTACACCAGCCGGCACCCCGAGTACTTTTGTCAGGTCATAAGATATGCCATTTGAAGCGAGACCCTAAGACGGCTGGGTTTGATAACAAAATCTAAAAAGCTGCTCCCCGGGTTTTGCCTTTCTGGTTCCTTTCATTGTGATCCTATCCACAGAAAAAGCTTTCTCCAAGTGCGTCCGATACGCATCACGAATCCCAAGCTGCGGGGACAAGCCAATTTGCTTTTTTTTTCGCAGGCAACGTGTCAAACTCTAACTTTCTCCCCTCGCACTGATCTTCTTTCTTTTTTCCTCTCCAATCCCATTTCTTCCTCTTTCACTGTGAATTTCCTGACTTTCTTGTTAATTCAAATTACAGAAGTGATTTATATGCTAACTGCTCTATCCTGTTTCTCTTCCTCTCTCACTTCCCTTCCCTCTTTTCTTCCTTTTCTCTCTCCTGTAGATAAAGGTCTGACTTCTCCATGACTGCCTCCACTCCTCTAGTCTGCTCCCTCCTTTACTGCCCAGCCTGATGCAACCCCCATTATTTCCCATTATCTCCTCTCTTTCAAGACAGCACTGGCTGTAAGAATAGTCCTACTATATCAGTGGCAACAGCGTCAAATAATTTTTACAACGGCTGATTGGAGACTCTGTATGCACTCATTGGGCAAACTGTAAAACTGTTTAAGGCCTAACAACGCACATAACTTCCTTAAGAGGAACCCGAAAGACATCCCTCTGTGTTTAGAGTCCCCTGAATCTTCCCCCTTAATGTTTACGACTCAATCACACACACTGAGCGGAGCTGTGAGTGCACTCTGGACTTCAGATAGAGAAAAAGAGAGACAGAGACGGAGAGGAGAGTGATAGTGGGAGAGAAATATGATTCCTGCTCTCAGCCGGCGTAGATAGAGGTTCAAGCCCTCGAGCTCGGGGTGATTCAATCCTCTCACATTTGAGCTAATGGAGGTTGTCGCCGTGTCCCTGCCCTGGCTAAAGGGGGCTATTTCTGGCCCTATAAGTGCGTACGGGCTTACTGTAACAGCTGCACATTTTTCAGCTAACAGGGGAGGGGGAGCGATAAAGAAAGAGGTGAGCAGGGTGGATGGGGGTGGAGGGGTGCCCGCTGAGCTGTTTGTGCCTGAGTGCATGAGGCTGTCCGCTGTTGACTTGACGGCCGTCGACTGACGACCTGGAATGACGTCACGGCCCGGAGGGCTGACGGATGCTCTCAGGAGTCTTGACAAAAGGGGCTTACCAGGAAGAGGTGCAGCTTCTGTGCTCTCAGAGTTATTTTAGGTCCAGTTAATCCGCTTGCACGTTTCTCCTCGCCAACCCAGGGCTAATTATTTTAGCACGTGCTGGTAACGAGATATCTCTCTCTCCATCTTCCTCTCTCCCTCCCTCCCTGCCTCCTCTGCTGTCTTCACTCCTTTGTTATTCACTCTTCATCTCTGCTCCCATCTTGGGATTCATCTCCTCCCTCCAAACCCTTGTTTCGTTCTTTCTGTCCTTACGTCTTTGGCTTCCTTTATCTGTTCCTCTTCCTGTCTTCTAGTGACTGTGCACTGCATTATTCCCCCACAGAAAAGGCCTATACACAATCCACTCCACTCTTTAAGCCTCTCCTTATCTGACTGCCAGGCCTACAGCTCAATGCTCTGCTCCTCTTTCCTCTCTCTTCTGTCCTTCCTACTCCTCGTCCTTCTTCTTCTCTTTTTCAAACTCGATGACGGACATCTCTCTCCCCTCCCTCCGGCTTGCCCAATGATCGACGAACGCCCTCTCACTTGCCCTTCAAAGTGCCACCTCCCCCAAAGGCATGTTCCCCTGCCAGCCCGCCTTCCCTTCTTCCTCCGACCCTTTACTGTCTTGTTTCTGCTGGTTCGAATGCCAAAATGCTCTCCTCTGCCCCTCACTGGCAAAGGACGGAAACACATGGGCAGAAATCCGCCTTTAGTTCTCACTGAAGACGCCAAACATATATAATCTAGCTAGCTCTCTTCCGGTCGCAAATACGACGCGTGTTTTATGTATATGTGTGTTTAAAAATGAAGATTTGATATAAAGCAAAAAAAATAAAAACAGTACGTCACCCTAAGTTAAGCAAATAATGTTTTCTGAGACATTTTTTACATGTGTACAAAAAGAAAACACATGGAGAACATGTTTATCGAGGCAGGGAGGAAATGTAATTGTATTCAATTGAATATGTCATTATATTTCTGACCTTGTGTGTTATGTAAGGTACTGTGTGGCTGTCTCTCTGGTGCACATTTTATTCCGAGACGATTGGAAATCGAGGTCGTCGTGCGGCGTCGGAGAGAAGACGAGGGGTGGATAAGGGTTCGGTTAGCCTCAGATTCAGCGCGATGTGGCTGGGGAGAAAATAAAAAAAGGGGGAGGAAGGTGCTTGCTGTGGGAGAACACTCTGGAGGAAGAGACTTATCTGGCGTGTTAAGCCAAGCCAAAAATCCATATGTATCACCACAGATAGAGTCGGCTCTTCCCCCAGAGCTTTCTTTTAAAGGTGCTCCTTCCCCAACCCTGAGCCAAAGATGGATTGCGATCTGCGTGCTTGATATGCAGGGTGGACAGTGTAGACTTGAATGTTCCTTTAAAATTCATAACGGCAATGGAGGTGCTAAAAATCCACATCTTTATAACTGGAGATCTGTTTCACTAGTCGCTGTTTAACTATCCAGTCACGTGGATTAGTTAGAATGTTTTCTTCTTTTTCAGCAAAGCCACACAGACACCTGACATAAGACAAACAGCATTAAAATGCCTTTTAAAAAAGTGTTTTATATGTATTATGAACTGTATTAGTCATAGTTGCACAATAACCTTCCTTTATTTGAAATGACTGGAGCTTCTTACATTTTTTTACATTTATTTTAATGCTTGTGATAATTCCAGAGCACTAACAACTTTTGATGACTCTGTATAATATGTTGTAAAGAGAACGTAAATAAAAAAAATTAAAGCCCCAAAGCGCGGCTGTTGTCAACAGAAGACAAAGTAAACCCAGCTGAAAATGTCTACAGTCGTCTTTTCTTTCCGTTCCAAGTCCCAAGCATTGTGTGAATCTGTCGCCAGTGTCTCTGCCAAGACATAATTTCATGAACTTTTCAAAAGAAAAAACTCCTTCCAAAATGAGATATCCACTGTTCGAAATATTTGAATGCTCTGATGGCTGGCATCAAAGTAAAGCACATTATGACACAGCACCAGCCTTATTACTACAGCTTTCTACAGACATTTGCATACACAATAGCTACATTATAGAGGAGGTAATGTGGAGGTTTTAGATGCTGAACTTAGACCACCAGGTGATTTTCTTCTTATACATGCAAAAGGAATTCAGTTTTGGGATTAAACTTTGAAGCATTTGCCTCACAGCAGCAGGTGAGGACTGAAATGGTCTCACCTCACTGTGCCCTTTGTTACCCAGCTACCAAAAAGTAATGATGATGAGCTGAAAATAAATGCTCAGTGACCATTTACAACCTTTTCACATTTTACAGGGTAACAAAATGAGGTATAATTTTCAGAGAGCCTTAATTTTTTCTGACTTAATAGGCAGGCTGGGTTCAGTGAGCATACATAACCTTTTCAGAAATGCTCTGCTTCATATTCAGACAGTTACACTCAAATTACAACCACAGTCTTTAACTGATGACCACTGAACTGCTCAGCTGCAGCACCTGAATGACTGGCTGAGAGGGCGAGCTGAGGTGCTGTCTCTTTTGATGCCACCACTTGGAGTCACCAAAGTCAGACACGTCGTGTCTTTATAGTTATGATGTGTACAATTTATGTGATTGTAGCGCCTTTGAGGAAATGGTTTGACATTTTGGGAGGTACACATATTGGCTTTCCTGCTGAGAGTAAGATAAGATTGATGCCACTCTCATAACTGTGCTTCATGGAGACTATTAGCTGAGCATAAAGGCTGTAAGCAGGGAAAAGCAGCTAACCTTGCTCTCTTCAAAGTAAAAAAAATATGCCGAGCAACACCTCTAAAGCTGACTAATTAACATGTTGAAATTTTAACACAAACAAAAATGTGAAAGAGATACTTTGTGGCTTTAGAGGAATTTGTGTAACTATATCCTGACAAACGACAGCTGCGTGCAGTGACTTCCCAGAATCTCGTCATCACCTTGAGGTTGCCAGGCAACAGCAAATAACTTCCCCTAAAACCACAAATTGTAATTTTTCACATTTCTACACGTGTACAAATTAAACAAATGAGATAAGACTCAACTACTGAGCTGTGTGGTGCTAGGGGTGTATATTTGAATTTTGGACAGAGAAATGAGTAAGGGTGTATTTTATTGCTTATGACAGGACTCTTTTTTTAAGTGAAGGATTGTGTTTTTAGAAGCAAGAATATTACCTAACAGAGTTTAAGGTTTCTTATTCTCCTGCTTGACCCATTGAGGTTCACCAGTTTGATTACTTCCAGGGCCGGCCCTACACTTCTGGATGCCCTAAGCAGGATTGGTCTTGCCCCCCGTGTGTCATAAATATTAGTTTTAGAACATAGTAGGTACAAGTAAGCACGTGAAGCCGAAGGGCCCACACACACCAAGCAGATGGTTGGCTGTCGGTCAAAGTTGGGCCATCGGTGAGTGTCTGTTACCCTAGTTTTTGAGGTGTGTGCCGTTGGCCCTTGTCACCTTTTTGTTCGGCAGATGCAGCACATTGAATCAGTGTCAGTGACAGTGGAGCCCATTGATGAATGGCATCAGTCTGATTGGAAGTTCAGCTCAGTGCACAAGAAGAGAAATGGAAATGAGGAAAGTAAACAAAGAGCTAATGTCTAGAGCGTTGCAACAGTCAGTCTTCAGATGATGGTCCTGCTCAGGGCCTTTTGCTTACTCTGGTTAAAGTTTGATGTGTATTTTAGTGTTACGTTCTCATGGGAAGGGCTGAATCTCACCTGTCTTTATGTGTCTGTGTAAGCTGACTATATGTAGAAATGTTGTAAGAGTATATGCTGCACAAGGCAACAATATGATAAAGAACATACATTTATTTTAACTAATATTATTGTGAAAGTTGTCAAATGAGAAATAAATAAAAAACGAGTACTGTTTAAATAAAATGTTTGTACAAAATTGCCAAAAAAAACTAAAAATTTCTAGTAACAGCTGAAACGCAAACATTTTAGTAGGAACCAAAACTGTAAATCAGTAGTTGTAGTTTGTAGCACTTGTTTGCAAACTTAGTAGTGGCAGTAGTTAAGTCTACTTATAACAGAATTTATTTTTAATCCTTCAATTGATTATTATTACAGTGAACTTTCATATACCAGGGCTTAAAGTAAGTTTGTTCTATTCCTTAAGATTTCTTATGAGGAACATCTAAATGTTATCATTTGTAGTGACACAGTTAATTCAAACTGGTTGAATCATCACCCATGCAGACACATTAGATAACATACTGCTGCACTTTCTTGACCTGACCCACACATGTAATCCAAACCCAGTCTCACACTGAAGTCGTCGAAATCCAGCGCTTGGGTATTGACTTGCGTCGTCAGACACTGACGAAAAAGCCATCCTTTAACGTTGGCGTGATACATGGCCGGTCACCATTGTAGTTTAATGGCACTCAGCAGTAACGGGGGGAACACGTCGGGGCAGGAATGAAAGTTAAGGCAATGAAAGACAGAGTAGGGCGGGCAGGACGGGTAGCGGATGGGTCCAATAAACACTTTCACCTGGGAGAGCTGTGCTTGGATCCCATAAGATTATGAAGCCAAACCTTGTTCTTTTTTCCTAACCCTAACCACGTATGTAAAAAAAAAAAAAAAAAAAAACCCAGCAATTTGCGGTGTTTTACTGACGTAGTGTATTTATTTTGAAAGAGACTGTATGTACACGGTAAATTTCCTGTGAAAACGTAAGTGTAGTTTGAAAGACGATAATGCATCTGACAGGCAGAATTTGACACAGCGCAGCAGAACGTCAACGTCCAACACACCCAGAGTACCTTGCACATCCTACGTGGACGTGGAAAGCCCATGGCCAAACGCCAATATGTGACAAGGGCAGAGTGAGAATGTGTTTGTAATCTGTATTAAC